ATACCGTAGGTATTCCGTGCCTTTATCAAAGGTCAACTATTTTGTGACCGCAGAAGTGGGATGTGTCACCTCTGGTTATTTATTCGACCTGTCCTCGCTGTCACCTCAGAGTAATGATATAAATAGAGATGCCTTTCTGTCCTTGTTTCTGAAGCCAAATTACTTTGTTTATGTTTACGGCAGTCCTCCAACTAACAGAAATAGATAATACTGGTATTTCGTCGTTTTTGGAAGTTATTTTTGTGATTTGAGTGCTTATTGACCGATATAATTAATTTGTAGTGCAAAAAGTAATTTTGAAGATGGTGAAAACCTGCGTCGTTTGTGGATTTGCGCAATCCTTGCATGTTGGTGTAACATTTCATAGGTAAAGAACAAATGGAACATGGGCGTAACCCAGAATTTTCGATCGAATTAATAGTTGATAGTCATTAGAATTTTCTTAACATATTTTCCGCACGCCCCTGGATCCAGTCCAGAGGATTATGTAAACAATTCCCTCAGTCCCCTTGACCACATTTTACTGTGAGAGAGATGGATATCCTGGTTGTCTACAAATCTGTTGTGTTTATATACGGAGGGCAACTCTACTTATTTTTTATTACTCTGAGGCTGTCACCAATCTGTTTCCTTCTGAAATGACATGTCAATTATCTTCCCTCTAGATTGTGGATTTTGAGGAATAAGGTGGTGTGCGATCCGAATTATCTTGCAGCAATTTGTGCATCCATCCTGGGATTTCGAGATTTTCGGACTCGGTGATTTCTGACGTTGTTTTGTGGGTGTCTGAAACCTATATTTTCGTTGGAACGCAGAAATCCTTTCGGCAATTCGCCGTATTTATAAAGCACCGGTAACAGGTTATGTTCTATCAGAGGAAAATGTACCTACATGAATCGTATTCATTTTAAGGACTGTTTATTCCATTTGCTTGGACTATATCCACTGCCAACTTCCGTCAGAAAAGTTTTGTTGTTGGATTCTTATACACTGGGACCCGTCCATCATCATCTGTCAGTGGAAACAACCTCAAATGAGAGGTTTGTAAATGCACTATATTTCTTCTACCGCGTATATTTTTATAATGTGTTCATTTTTGAGGGTGTTATTCCCCGGTTGATCAACCGACTGTGAAGGTCAATAGAACCGTCGGCTTTGGTTTTGTTTTCTTCATTGGATTCTCCCTTTCTTCCATTCCTGTACCTCTGCATGGTAATCATTTCGTATAAGTTTAGCCTTTTAAGTGAGAGCAGCTTCCAGCCATCACAGACTGAACCCCGCCTTGGACTCTTTCGGAGCCGGCTGCACCCTTATTAGCAACCTTAATACGCCTGACGAAGGGAGTTGAAACAGCTAAGATATTTACATATATACATATATGTTGATTACGATTAGTAACATTATTATTATTTGGGTACTCTAAAATGACGTCACAAATCAGCATCCCATAGATACATAACTGTTAATAGATATTAAATTTTCTTACTTATGAACCTTGTTTCTCTCCGCATTGACTTTGCTATTCAAATCAATATATCAGTATATCAGTTTTTCTGATAATTGTTTCTCAGCCCATACCGTTGGGAGTTCAACCACTGAACAGTTAATTTGAGATTCTGTCAGGGCATCTTGAACCTTTTTATATAGTGTTTTTTTATATATTAATATACCAGTTTATTAAAATTACTGTTGAAATATTTCTTCACCGTCTGATATTTCCCCTGTGCTGAAACTGAATCTTCTAGTTTCACCGAGATATTGCAGTAGTGGGTTCTTTAGTTATCAAGGATTTTCTTTTTTTATTAATCGAACCTACGACCACTGACCTAGCTTGGTAACTTTTTAGTGGTGTTTCATTGCATCCCCCTACTGCTAACTAGTATTTTAAAATGATCATTTGGCAAAACACACCCTAGCACCTTCACAGAATGGCAATTGGTAACAATAATCAACATTCAAGGAATTTGTTCTCTTTTTCTCAACATGTCTGATTTGTTCAATATTTTTACGCATTTCGTGATATGCAATTTTCTGAAAAGCATTTCCATGCGTTTTGAAGTGTCATAGTAATTTCTCCACATTCGAGAAGTACATTTTCTGTAAAGGTTGTGTCTGTCTCGACACACAATCTGCGGAGGTTCGTGATGTTCTTACAGAAAGGGCCGTCACCTAGCGAATCGACATCGCCATGTACACAGTCGTTCAATTGTTTTCCGAATTGAAGAGGAGGAGGAATCCCGTCCTGGCGATTCAAATGATTGAAGGATGGATACACAAGATAGGGGCTCAGATCAAGTTGACGGTTGAACACGCCAATATATGATGGATTACAGAGTGGTAATGGAGCATTTCATGTTCGCAGTTGGACGAATAATTGCCTAATTACGTATTACCTTCTCAAATCCCCTACCAGATTTTGAACAGTGGAGACGGGTGTAGGTATAAAGATAAAATAAAGGAGTAAATCAATTTGCGAATCTTTCATTGATGAAAGTCAATTATAATGAAAGACAGTTACTATTTCAGCAATAATAGAAGGTAAAGAAAAATTATTACGAGAATTTTCAGTTCTGACTTCAGGGACCAATCTACAAAAGTTGACTTATTTACAAGTAAAGGGAAAATAAATGATATAAACATGAAAGATTTTCTCACATTGATTTCCTCGTTTTATTATTCAACTAATTTCTCCTAGTATGCATACTATCGGTTAACAGTTGTTCAAAGTTAGCTAAGAAAAAGTTTTTAAATTTCAATACAACACATCAAACTAATAAATGAACGATAATAAGGAACAAGATTACTTTCGCTTTAATGTTGCTTCTAATAGTGGTGAGTTATCTAGGTGTCCAAAAAGTGGAGATTCGCCAAGCGTTATTCTCAAAGTTGGGGAAATTTGAGGGTTTTATCATTAGGCATCGAACAGATTCCGTTTCATTGAAAATATTGTACAGGTCTAGGCTGAAAATCGAGTCCAGGGATGGAGTGTGGCCTTTGACATGTTCGACAAGGTAGACTTCCACAAGAAAGTTTGGAGTAATTCCAACATAAATCCTACGACAGTAGATAATTGATTATAATCCTTAAGATAATAAATTTTCTATTCAGGAATACTTTGAAACATACTTTCAAATCTACAAAATCGCGATGTTCTTCCCGTATCTGGTCCAAACGCTTTCGATGCCCGAAGTATAGGCAGAAAGGAGTAAAAATTCGTCTTAACGGATCGCCGCTATGGGGCGACCGAATACATTTGAGTCGATTGGCATGACCTTTAGGGTCCGCAGAGGTCAAATGATAAAGTTGTTCCAAATGGCTTGAAAATACTATATATCCATGAAAAGAGGCACCGCACCTGACCTAACATAACCTAACATAACGAACCCTACCTAACCTAACCTAACTGTTTCTCATACAATACTTCTTCAGAAACTTGAATATTACGGAATACGTGAAACAGCTTACGAATTTTTCTCCTCCTATCTTACCAACAGATTTCAGACAGTGCAATACCAGGATTCTCAATCAGAGTTTCGAATCATCAAACATGGGATACCCCAAGGGTCTGTATTAGATCCTCTCCTATTTATTTTATATATCAATGACCTACCGCAAAACTTGTCACCGTCATCATGCATGATGTTTGCATCAGATGATGTAACTATATACGAAGCACATGTTAATAAGGAAATATTGTCAAATTCGATGGAATTGGCGGAGCGTAGAGCGGAAGAATGGTTTCTAACAAACAAATAGAAACAAAACCCTAATGAATGCCTAAGGATTTCCATTTCAACTAACTGTCGTTAGTAGGTACGTGTAAATATAAATTACAAGATATATAATCTTATTATTGTAGTTGTCCTGACGAAGGTGTGAAATATACCGAAAGCTTGACATATAACAAAGAGTTTTCTTTGTAACAGCCCAGCTATTGACTGCAACCTCACGAATTAAACCGATTTATAGTTAATCCAGTCACTAATTATTCTGAAGTTAAACCATCAGGCACCTGTGCAACGTCTTCGACTTGGAAGATTCGTCGCAAATTATTTCCCACTATGAAAAGCAGAAATTAATTTCGTTTGGTCGATCCGACCAACCGATAGACCGGTTTCGGGGTGATTGCCCCATCATCAGTACCGAGCATGGTCTCTTCAGAACGGTGTGAATCGTCACGACCAAATGAAATTCCAGCTAGTCATTTGTATATTCATTGAGTTACTAGATAGGTTCTCCGTGTTGGCCGTGGTAGTAAACGGACGTGCTGATAACGTCCGTCCACAAAGAAGGAACGCGGATGCCATGTGCTATCGTGGGGCTCCGTTTTGTGTTGTGTGTGTTAAATATTGAAATGTGTGAGTCTCTAAAAAAGTGATGAATAAATGGCCCCCTTTATTCACGTCGGTATCCAGGCCGGGATGGTTCGGATAACCACGTAAAGGGGGCTGTATACGTGGAAAAAAAACCAAAAGATCTTCCAAGTAGGAGGCGACTTCAAATTTTTGTTTTGTTTTTAATGTAAAAAAAATCGATAACAAATGAAAGTGTGACAGAAAGGGGGTGGCAGCATTGCTTCGAGCAAGACCGCTGCGCCCCCTCGACGAAGCTTCTATCAAATTGATGACAATTTGATAGGGGGAGCCTGAACAAATGCGCTCGAGTGGGAAGCAACGTCCATCAATTTAGAGAGAGAGAGAGATAGAGTTACTAGATAATTTGACATTTTTCTCTCTTCAAGCGTATAATTTTCAATTCGGTGTATGTCATTAATTCCTTTGGAGCATTCAAAGTTCTATAATTTGTAGGATTCCTAGAAAAGTGAAGTTGTTGATGCTATTATGTGAGAGGTTGAAACATCAAGATGCTTCTAATTAGTAAACGTCTACATTCGCCATGGGTATATTAAAGGTGCGATACTGAAGTTTTCGACAATCCGGCATTATATGGCATTAGAAGGTGCATCTTTTTCAATGTACAGGTAATTAAGTATAACTTACGTCACAATACTCAGTTTTCTCATCAGAATCATCGCTGCAGTCATTTACTCCGTCGCACACGAAATGATATGGTACACACTCGTTACCAGTTTCACATCTCCAGAAGCCCTGACCGCATTTTTCTTGTGGTGTCTTACACACTACCCCAGCTATCTACAAAATGAAGACATTAGTCCACTTTCATACATCTTTTAACTTTGTTTTTTTTACAAGCTGACGTTCAATCTGTTATTGATTAATCCAATTCTGAAATAGCATTCTTTGGAGTTATATACATGCCGTTTCTTTTATCATGTGGTAACGTTGCTATATTCTAAACCGTAACAGATACGAAGAAGATTAAATGGCAAAAAAGATAACTGTCATTGTGAACAACACAATGGTCGAAGGAAATTTACGGGGACTCTCGCCCTTCTCGAGCTATACGGGGAATTGTTATTTCGTAGAATATCCGAAATGGAGAAGGAAAATGTTATTGTATTCGAAGTGTACTATGACGATGTGATAATAAATATTCGACAAAACGTTTCGTGTCAACATGTCCGCCATCAACTTTTCTTTAAATACGGACCTGTCTTTTTTATTACAGATAATGATGAAGCGATAATTGCACAATCCATAGGTATATCACATTTGATTTTTATAGCCTTTCCATTGAAATACCTTCCATCATCAGTGACAACAATTTCAAATTATGGTCTTGTCGTTACTTCTTTTGTAAATTGTTTCGATTCCTTCAAAATATAATTCAGACAACCCAATAAATTCGACAGGTAAGTATCCTTACAAAATTCGTACTTTTTCGTTTTGGAAATTTTTGTAATGCCGTAATCCTTCTTCCATAGCTTATTTCTCCCTAATCAATTATAATTCGAAATATTTTTATAATTCTCAATCTTGGAAGTAACGAAAATATCAGTTTTTAGTCAAAATTCGATTATTGTATAATTTGGTATGATCAAAAAGCATCTCAATCCATTTATCATCCTAAACGCCTAGGCTATTAAATATTACTGGAGTTTTTTCCCAAAACCAAATCATTATTTTTACACCTCGACACGTGTTTCGATCACAAAGTGATCATCTTCAAGAGGAAGATAAAACAGTTTGAGAAAAAAACTGCAGTAATATCCATACTACACCAAAGGTTCCAAACAGTATATCACAAGTGCCTAGGCTTTTCTTGGCAGGAAAAATGAATGCGTTGTTGAATCTGTTGAAAACTGTCAGACGTTTATGAACATATCAAAGATGTATTCAAAAGATGAAAGGACTGATATGCTATTTAGTTATGCAAAATCAAATAGAAATTCTTTTTTGGCAAGGAATACCCGAATCGTCGTATTCCAAACATCCAAATGTGTAAACGATTAGAAAGAAATTTGAGGGACTATGGTGCCTTTGAAAGACAGAAAACAAGAAAATGTGTGGTTACTGGAACTGTGAGGAATCAAATAAATTTTATGGGCGAGCAAATGTTATCATGTAAAAATTTACAAAAATTATGCTAATCAAGATTGTTCTTTACGAGAAATTGCCTAGGATTGGCCAGTTACAAAAATTATGCAATCAAGATTGTTCTTTACGAGAAATTGCCAACAAAATGGGGATTTCTGTAATATCCACCAGAACTATTTTGAAAAGAACAAATATTAATGCTACAGGATACGCAAAGTTCATCATGTCAATGAAAGGGATTACGGAAGGAGAATACGATTTGCGAATTGGTTAAGACGTAGAAATAGGGAAGATGAAAATATTTGTAAAAATATAATATGAACGGACGAATCAAAATTCACCAACAATGGTTGATTTAAAAGAAATATTCATTATAGGTGGAATATTACAGATGAACAATTACATAGGGAATCCAATTTCCAAGAAAGGTTCGGATTAAATGTTTGGTTGGGAATTGTGGGAACAAACATCCTTGGCTCTTTCTTTTACGATGATAATTTGAATAATGGAATGTATTTTCATTTTCTATTTAATAAATTCAATGGATTGCCACTGAATATCCGCCATGAAATACAATATTTTCAACAGGACGGTGCTCCTCCCCATAATGCAGCAATAGTAAGGGAACATTTAGATGCAGTATTCCCAAGAAAATAGATTGGAAAAAATGGACCAATAAACTGGACAGCGCGATCCCCACATCTTACACCTTTAGATTTGTGTGTCTGGGGATACATAAAAGATAAAGTTTTCTCAACACCAAGTACAGATATCGACCATCTCATACATACATCTCATACTAAGAACTTTCAGAAAATAGAATGGTTTACCGTTACCGCAAAGGTGTTCCTCAATAACAGTAGTCTGACACGAATTGCCCTTCCGACCATGAAGTATCCTGATGCAAATGAACCCTTTGCGAGATATGAGGTGTTAGGAAATTCACTATTGAGTAGTTATAGGAAGAGGTTAGTTAGTTCCGTATTTAGAAAAGCGAGAATTGGTACCAAGAGAAAAAAAATCATGACGAAGGTGCATCAAGAAGTCGTAGAACTCATAAATTTGCTCGAAAAACTGAAAAATTGAGCTAATATCATGTAAGCACTAGTCAAAGATATTCAAGATACAAACAACGCAATGAAAAATCAATCTACGAACTTATTAGGTAGAAAAGTTACTAAAAAATGTAAATAATAGAATATGTACCCTTGGTGAATAAAATTGAAAGAGTAAAAGAATGTGCATATAGCACATGAAATCATTGTAGTGCTGGATGACCGAGAGAAACATGGTGGTCATGGAGGTATCGACAAACTTATAAAGCTATAAATAATATGTATCGAATATGATTTTTCCATTATTATTATTGCACTCAAAGAGAAAAATAAAAAGTGTCGATGGAGAACATAGATTCATTATGAACGAAATCTAGATCAGCTGGTTTAAACTGAGGTCTACATAGAAATTATATTCAAAACAGCAGTTTTCGCTTTGGGACAGTGTGGTACCACTGGTGGAATATGGACTTTTTCCAAACCAAAGAGATTACTACTACTGGAAACTAATAGTTATATTTCAATCCGAATATAAATAAATGTGAGAGTTCGTAGATCATATAATTGTGTAGACGAAAAACTTGAGTCGAAACTTACGTGGATGTTTCAACTTATGTCGAAGAGAGTGATTCAAAAAGAAGTGTTCACTTCATTTTGTTACAGTTATTACCTGACTCAACTGTGGAAAATGAAAATACAAGGAAAATGACTCTAACGTCTCATCGTACTGTGCAAAATACGAAAAGGTTGGACACCGGAATGAACTCATCATATTCTCATATTTCAGGTGACTGACAGATGAGGAGAAGGAAACGTGAAAACGAGAAGCTGAGTCGAAACTTACATCCATCTCTCAACTTATGTCAAAGACAGTGATTTAGAAATAATTGTTCACATTATTTTGTTACACGGAGCACCAGTGTGACAGAAAATAAAGTCGGTCAGGTGATGGCACAGTTTCTACAAAGACCCACAGGTGATACCTGAAATACCACCCACAGATATCCAAGGTGATGGGGACAACATTGAATTGAGTACTAAAATATGAGAGGATTTTCAATAGGTAGACGACATTGATACGCTCTACTCGTACACTGGAGTCCCACGTAACAGAGAACTACACACTTGGCACTCATAACGAATTTCTCTTATCGAAACTGTCGACTATATTGCGATACATATCGAAAATAGTACCATACCGACAAAAACGATAAACGCCTAGTTTCTTACATACTGCTCTTCGAAAATATTTTAGACCTCTTAAATATACAAACCCTTACATACTCCTATTTAGTTCAGTTTTTACAAATGAAAAATAATAGTTGAAATGTTTGCTTTTTAATCTTTATATTCTGTTTACCTCCTGGGCTCTACAGTCATGGATACCCCAACCAGCAAAACCGCAATCCAATAATGTGGTCTCATTTCCAATACACTCCACTTCATCCATCATATACAGAGTATTACTCTCATTGAGCCCCTTGGTGAAATAGGATTGACCTTTGACTTCTGCTGCACCCAGTTCAAAACCTAGTTCCCTACAAACCACATTTGCATCTTGAATTCCGAATTGGTCATCGCAAATGTAACCGGTTTTTCCGAAAGCTAAAACAAAACTTCAGTATTAAGGTGGTATCATTCCTGAAGTTGGTAGAATTCACTTCATTATATTTTCATTAAAATATTATATTTATGAAGTGAAGCAAATGGTAAAAAACTGTCAAGATTCAGTCCTGCAAGTAGGTGAGAGCAGTGACTTCCAACCTTACGAGTTAGGTATATGAAAAACTACAAAATATGATCCCATATCCACCAAACTCCAATAAATATTTGATGTATCTGCTCCAATATATTATAGATAACGATTTGAAAGAAATTTACATTATCATTCGAATTCCATTAACAAAATGAAAACCAATAAAAAATTAAGTTAATAAATAAATACAATGGCAGTTTTATCCATTGACGCAGTTATAGCATTACGAACCAATAATTAAGAATTTCAGTAAAACCAAAAGTAAAAAATGTTTGTTCCTTCAATTAATCCTTTTTTTTCATTTCTAACCCCCGACACAAAAAAGAGGTGTTTGCCTTGTGTATCTGTCTGTGCCACTGTAGCTCCTATACTAGAAGATCGATTTTGATGCGTTTTATTTAATAGCAAAAGCAGAAGCAAAAATCGTTTTTATCAAAATAAACTGTTTACATGCCTACATTTCATGAGTACCTCTGCCTTGAGGGTAAAATAGCAAAGTGACTTCAGGCAGGCGCACTCTCTCGCGTCCCCGCCGAAAGGAGGCGGGGTTGACGCTCACCCAGAAACATAGACTTTATTAAGAACGACTAAGTAATGTGCCTCCTGCCGCCAAGGCTTATGCAAACCATTACATGGTTTTGATATTCAGGTCGATTGAAAGAAAACATAGCTGTCGATGTTTTGTTTAGCTAGATACTCCTGGAAAAAGTACATGAAAAAACCAGGACAGAAAAAAAATTTATTGAATTCTTGGGTTTTCCAATAAGTCGTTGATATACAATAAAAAGAGAGTTGGAAACAATATGGATCCCTGGGGAACACCAGCTTTGATGGTGAAAGTATTCGGGAGATATCCATCGACGGTCACTTGCAGGAAACGTTCTTTTAGGAATCTGAAGAGTCATACACAGAAATGATCCAACAAGCGATAGCATCGAAGTTTGGTTAGCAAACCCTCATACCATACACGGTCAAAGGCCTTAGAAATATCGAGCGCAACAGCTCTTGATTCTCCATATTTCTCGATTGCGTTAGTCCAAATATGGGTGATACGATACAAGGTCGCCTTTTGATCTTTGTTTCCGAAAGTCATATTGATGATCGCTCAAGATGTTGAAGCATCCCAAATATTTGGGGATATGGTGTTTTAAGACTTTCTTTATGATTCTTGATATCACTGATAGTAAAGCGACTGGTCTATAGTTATTTGGAAGTTTTTTCTTGCTCTTTTTGGGAATAGGCTGAAAGCGATCAATCTTCCAACAAGAAGAAAAAAACTCTTTTTTATAAGACAGGTTGGAAAGTCTGCAAAATACTGATGCGAGTCCATTTGCGCACTTTTTAAGTACATGACGGGCACTTCATGAGGGCCAGACGACTTGTTGATATCGAGCTGTTTCAATCAAAATTCGCCTAATTAGACGCTGTCGAAAAGTAATTTCCGACAATGTGGATTCTAGTCTGGGAATAGTTGGTGCCGTCTTTCCAAGAAGATCGACTGTGGAGTGGAACGCAAATTGTTCAGCTAGTAGATCTGCTTTTTCTATGGCTGTTGTTGAAATTGAACATATTCGCTTGTGTTAGCGGTGGAATTGTGAATTTTGTAAAGTTCTGATTTACAGCTTCAGCTATAGCTGAAGCTGTGAACAGTTTATTCCTAACTCTCTGATTGTAAAGTTCTTTGTTTGCAGCTGTTGCGAGCATTAACAAACCTAGTTCGGTTTTCAGCACTGGGATTTTTGCGCCACTACCGGTAGGCGAGATTTTTTGAGGCGATCAGTTTTTAATGCAGAAGAAATATGTTACACTTTCTCAATTGAAAAAATATGAATTCATTCAGTATTTTTTTAATTCAGGGAGAACAATGCATAGTTTTTTAACATGTGTCTAATTTTCATTTTTCTGATTCAATTACCTACTGAAACATATTTATTTTATAAAATCATGAAGTTTTCGATTCTGTTCAAGTTATGAATACATTGTATTATTTGCCCACGAACAATTCAATAGTTTCTTAGGAAAAAAACAATTATCATTAGCAAAAATCAAGTGCTTTACGATACGATCAAAAATCTGTGAATTTAGTAAAGGAATTCAATGAAGAAAAACCTAGTAATATCAACTTAGATGAAACCCGGAAAATTTCAATTATTTCGAATACTACCTCGTTTCAGTATCAACATACCTGTAACTATAATACTTCCTTCATTTATTTCATTGGAACCGTTAATTTTGATGGAATAACCAAAATCTTCAGCCTTGCAATTTTTTTCGTCCTGTCGATCCCCACAGTCATCGGTTCCGTCACACACTTGTTCTCTTTTCAGACACTTTTTATTGGAACATTGGAAATATTTTGAGTGATCGGAGCAATCAACGGATCCCGTTTTCAGTTCGTAATAATCGGTTGGAAAATATTTCCTTAAGGTTCCTGTCAAACCAATGTTTCGATCTGATAGAAAACATGTTCTATCAATTTTTCTGAAAAAAAAATGCTAACGTTATTTTCAATTCATTATATTATCAAGGTTTCCACAATTTCAGTAGGTGCATCCTTTTCTGTATTCGACTATTCACGGATAACTGAATGAAGGTCAATATATAGTATTAGAAAGGAATATGGATACCAAGTGCATTCGAAGTTTACAGAAAAATATTTTCCGAGAAGGGTATGAACAACAGCGTGTGTTATCGAAAAGCAACGCAACTGAATCACAGACTAAAACATCAGGCCTAAAAGGACAAGACCGTGAATGCCATACATTTGTTATTTTATAAAAACTGGAAAGTTACTATGAAGTTTGATACCTATATCACAATGTTAATTATGCTTTATGCTTTCAATTTCTTGAAGAGGACAACTACTGTGTATACACATTGAAAATGTGTCAGTCAGGTACTCCTGTAGAGCATTTCAAAATCCTTGATGAAACCTTGGTGACGGTTAGCAATATAATAATAATAATAATAATTTTTATTTGCATTCAATTACATGGTTCAATATAAACATGAAAATATTTCAGAAAGGATGACAAAACAAAAAAAAGTATAAATACATGTATGGATTTTAGTCCCATGAGAATATTCAATTTAAGAAAAATATTTATTTCCGACGAGATTGTCGCAAGAAAAGCTCGAGAATTGCAACCGCTTTTCTGTAAGGCATAGAGGTTTGTTTGAAAAACAATTTTTTCAATCAAAATATTCGTGATGGAATGATTGGTCCCGTTTCCTGTATGAATGGAGAGGGCTTTGTACAGAATGTGGCATAGCTTGCCATACTGTGGTCAGTCTCCATAGTTGTAGTTGTAATTGTGATAGAGGCATTTCACCTTCTGTGTTACATCCATCAGTTTCTTTGGCTATGGTAGGTGATGCATCAATATCACGCCGACAAACTTGTTCGAATTGGTCGTCATCCAGCATATTGAAATGCATTGATGTCAAAAAGGCTATGCACATCCTCTACTGGACCTTTCATAATTAGGGATTCTTCTGGGTCGTCGATAATTCAATGTCTTGTGGTTAGCCTGGAAAGCCATACAGTATTTCATGCAATAAAACATCATTAACAACACGTACGGAGTTACGGGCATTAATGAAGGCTTATTTTCACTTATTTTAACATAAAAACACATTCTCACCTGACATACTGAAGACACGTTACTCATAAAGTTGAGTTGAAAAACTATAACTTCATGAACAACCATTGCACTTAAAGAATTCGTTAATAATGGTAACACGTGCTATGTTCAGGCGGATTTAAAATGTTTGCAAGAGTAGTAGTGATATAGACAACCCATTATACAGTATGATTACACCGTCTGTCCGCTAGACATTCAGAAGAATAATTTAGAAAATGTGGTTTCTTGAGCTGACCAGTTGTCCTCAAAGGGTTAAAGAACATCCCGTTCTTTACACATCGAATAAGTGCGTGATGTAACAGTGAAGTCAGTTCAGGTCCGGTCACCATAAACTTCACTACGAACCTAGGTACTAAAATAAATATAATGTGCGACGGGATGAAACAGTGCAATTTCGCTTTTAAATCATGCATCAACCGGAGTTATGTTTGAAAATAATAAGGTAATGCCAGAAATAAATCAATGAAATTACAGTGTCAGTGTCACTATTTTTCGGGTTCGAAGGCCGATATTAACCCAGGATATACACACCTCTGAAAAAGCTAGCTACTGGAGCCATTGAAACGTCAAGAATGAATTTCAAATATCCACGGCCTCCGAACCCGAAAAATAGTGATACTGGAAACCTCGGCCGCAAAAACCTCAACCATTTTGTCAGTCTTTTATTGACGAATTTATGTAAAACATATAGATTTTAATAAATAAATAGATGTAGCCGTTACTACATGGTAGGAGATCATCAGGAAAAATGAGAAATAAAACGTTTTGTTTTTTACCACTTGTATTCAATGCGACAAAAGGTGTAGCTCCAGACCGCGAGTGAACAACCACGAATTCATTCGTAATTACGAATAACGCGTTCGAATATAGGAGATGATACATCCCTGCTGGATCGCATGAATGTGAATTTTTAGGTTTTTAGGTGGAAATAATTCGTTACTCTGAGCTTAGAATTCGCGAAGCTCAATTGCTCTGATGATTGCATTTTTGTGTGAGTGAGCCGAAACAACCACTCATTATTCTCAAACACGATAATTCGTCAAACTAATAATGTAAGTTTTCCTGATATTTAACGAATTCATAAGGAATGGAATATGATCAAATGTTAATGATGAACTTATTGTCTACCTGAAAGATTACGGGATTATAATGGGTTGCCCCTAATGACAAATGAAACTAAGTACCTTTTGATATTTTGATTGATATTTTCTATCTTTTATGATTAAATGTTATCTTTCTGTATATGCGGCTATGTATTCCTTATTTTGTTACTGTGTGATTATATCAATTATAGAATGTTTTCATGTCATCCTGCCCGTTGTATTCTGGGGATTGTTATTTACCTACAAGGTTACTAAACATGTTATGAAAATGTTTCCTTTGAATACCCTGCTTGTTAGTGACTGATAAACCCTTTAAATATAACATGAATACTCCTTTTGATGATGAATAATCGTAAAAGCATTTCAGAGCACAATATTCATTTATGTTTCTATAATATGCCTGGCTTGGTTGACTTTATGATAGTTGTTTCAGCTTCTGTTTTATCTTTGATATGTTGTTCCGGCATATGATTCGAGAATAATATTATGTGCTCTTATTATGTATTCAAACAAGTTATGTAAATGTTCATCAAATATATTGTAACAGTTCATTTATGAGATACTGGGACAACCTGTATGTACATTTCGATAGTTCAATTGAAATGGCGTGCGGGTGGACAGAGGACGATTGTAGCGACAGTGCGAGGCTGGAGTGAAAGTTTTTCAAGTAAGTACGCCACACAAAATGCTTAAAATGTATGCCAGCCTTGTAATTCATTAGATGATTGATAACATCCAACTAGCCATAAAAAAAGCTCACTTCACTCTTTTCCAGATCTGTCGTCTTTGTTTCTACTCACTTTCCCATCATACACTCCGGTACATGCTCCTGTACCGTTGAGGGAGTGTGAGAAGCTTCCGGTGGCATGCATGCTGGTGGTGACAGATATTTGAATAGATTTTGAATATTCCATTGTACCTCGTTTTCACCTGTATCTGTACCTGTCAACATTCGTCGTCACCCGGTACTTGAAGAACACGAAACCAGTTTATGAAGGTACCTAATACAGGAGTTCTGCATTTTCTCATCTTTCACTGGTAGCGCCGGACAATAGACAATATAACAGTAAACAAGACTTGAAAAAATCAAAGAGTTACACAGTTTGACTTTCAATTCAGTGTTGAATAATTCTTTATGAACACATAAAAGAAGTTTTAATGGACGTTCCCAACCAAAGTTTTTCGGCTATAGAACAAGAGAAATGGGTTGAGATATTTGTCGAATTCAATATGAACGGATCTTTCAACAGTTTTGCGGCACATTCATGTACTATTCTGATAATTATTTCATCTCCAAAAAATATTACAAACAATAAAGAAATTACAAAAAATGGATATCAGATGAAATTCTAAATTCAAGCAATGAACTCAAAGACTAATTCATCAAATCTCTAAAGAAAAATATAAATTTCATAAGGGAAAACATGAATCACTCTTAAGAACTACCAAAAAATCATATTTCCAAAATGAATTGTTCAGATCCTTATAAGACTACATGGACGGCAGTACATGAGTTATCGAGTAAACAACAAAATTTCACTTCGGATGAGTTCTATCGTATCATTGAAGATCTTACGAAAATCTGAAATATGTTCAACAATTTGTTTGTCAATGTTCCTATTGAAACAAATAATCGTTCTGCCATTGAAACCGAAGATCTAGGTGTGATCCTAGACTCCACACTTAGCTATAAATCACACATTTCCGCTGTAATTCAAAAATCTATGAAGATGCTTGGCTTTATAAAGAGAACCACTCGTGATTTCTCCAACATCACTGCTATTAAATCTCTTTATTTTTTCCTGGTTAGATCTCATCTCGATTATTGTTCCACAGTTTGATCCCCTCACTACGTTACACAAAAAAAAGAAACTCGAGGCCGTACAGCACAATTTCCTGCGATATATCGCCTTCAAGATGCGTGTATACTATGACTATTCTGCATTGAAATGCATTTTGAACATACCTCCTCTTAAGGCTCGCAGAACACATATAGATTTAATTCTTCTATTCAAAATTATCAACGGACTGAGTATCAGTCCCGAGCTTCTCTCCAAAATATCTTTACATGTCCCCAGTCGTTCAACTAGAAAGGTGCAAACGTTTTACGTTTCTTTTCACAGATTCAATTATTCATATAAAGGCTTTATTCCTAGAACTCTTCGATTAGCTAACTCTTTAAATAACCTTCAATTCTTTAATATATCAGTATCCCGCTTTGAAAACCATATTCTTCACTTAGCCATCTAATACGCTCTGCTTGTGTTGTTGTGTTGTGTCTAGTGTTACTTGCCTGTAGAATTATATTAGTTCATATACATTTTAATTTTGTTATCTTGCTTCGCAATTGTATTATTGTTGTAACTTACTTTCAATCCACTGTATTGTATCAAGTACTAAATAGCACTGTACTACTTATATCTGAATTGGGCTTGCCCGTGTATACAGTACGATGCAAATGTATGGAATAAATTCGATATTCACAAAAGGAGCGTCTTTCGGAAGAAATCCAAAAACAGGTCAACTTTAATTTTTGATGGCCCATCTCATGATATTCATATGAAAGACGTTTCGTCACCAGTGTTGGCGTGATGACGTAATCGACAATTTTTTTAAATGCAAACAGGGGTCATGTGGCACCCCATTCAAAAGGTCTACTAGTCGTCTATTCAACGGTATAATGGTTTCAATATGTATTAATACAGGGTCAACCGAAATTATGTATTCAGAAGACTGGAATTACAAATAATAGTAATTCGTTGAACCAAATAATGCTATGCACCGCCACTGAGAATAAAGTATCGTACTGTCTTCTATTGTTTTTGTTGATTAGAAAAAAGAAATGGTGATAAAAGTCCTACACTCTACTTGAGATTAGTCAATGTCATTGAAGTGAAGTATCATTGAAGCGGTTGACATTATTTCTAGAAAAATATTTAAATCACTTATAATCTGGCAATGAAAGTAACAGAAACCCAAAGAATCGAAATTTTAATTATGATTGGCTGTGGAGATAAAGTAAGGACTCAGGCAGAAGTTCGTGATTTATTCAATGCGAAATACCCCAACCGAGAACCCNAATCAAATTCGAAACGTCGACAAGAAAACAATTATTTTTCGAGAAAAAATGGATCCTGTTAAGCAACCAACCTTTTTTTCAGAAAAATTATTGGATCACTAAACTAGTTAACTGAATTCAAAATAATTTTAATATTGATTTTTCTATATTCTGTCACGATATATTTTTTATTATTTCGTTGCATCGACTTAACTTCAATTGAATATATTCCATGTATCATGAACACTTCATAAATTTATTTTCGGCACGACAAAAACTGTTGGGCTCTGTACGGATTCGAAACGGCGTAAATTAGATAGCGATTCCTAGAAGATATCTGCCTAGTTAACTGTTTTGTAACTATCATTGATTGATTTTCGCAAAAGTGCGGTTTTACATTTCAAAGGCTGTTAGTTTGTATTAAGATAATAAATTGATTTCGAAATGTCTTCCGTTGTGCTTGGGATTTCGACACAAGGAGGTAAGCGTTCGACATTTTCTTTTAGAAACATAAAATTTGAGAATACCTTGATTTCAAACGTTTCATTTCTCACGGATCACGTTCCATATTTACGACTTACCTACACTCATTGTGTATTTAGAGGGAAGTTTTTGCCTGTTTCACTTCCTGAAATATTGTGATTACTGGTGATCATATGCAGAGGACTTGGATAGTAGAATCGCCGAGGATAAGTACCTCATAGAGGGTTTTTTTTAAGAATCGTTACGGAAGTAATAAACATAAGAATTGAAAGAGCATTTTGGGGTGGAGTGAATTAATTAAGGACAAACCGATGCTTATATTTTACATTATAGTAGAAACCGTATTCATAGTTAAGAAGAATTGAATGATTGTTGTCTTTCGGACTGCCCAACACTTGTTGCAGTGTATCACTCTTTTATTCAATTTGTTAAATGTTCAGACCAATCCATTGGTGTATTTGGGTTCATATGGAAGCACTATGAATTTTGAATCTTCCTCTTTTCGAAAAGTCGGGGCATTACGAAGATAGTCCCTATTTTTTTGTTTCCGAATTTATTTATCCACCATGTTTGATGGATACCCGTTATTTTCAGCCACCTCCTTAACAACTCTTTTCTCAATCTAATACCCTTCTTTGCTCAAGGGAAATGTAAGTAGTCTATGGACAAGAAATTGTAGTCTGGCAAAATAAAAAATCCTCTTTGGAAAATTCATCATTCACGTATCGAATCTAGGTTCGAGCAAAGTAATTCAACTCTTCCCTTTACTCAAGAACACATTAGCCATGAATAGAAACAACTGGGTTTCCACTGACGTACCCCATAAAAACAGTAGACGAACTGGAAGCAATTTTTTCCATGCAAATTTTTGTAAGCCGGATGTACTCCTCGACCACTTCACCACTCATTTCATTACCATCTAAAAGATCTTTCAAATATTCATTCGTTTTTGATATGTTTACACTTGGAAATATCGAAGATACGTCAAAGGTTACTAAGATCTCTCCTTCTCGCAACCTCAAATCTTTGATCTTCATCTTTAATCAATTGAATAATATGCAAAAAGTGTTAAAAACTTCATAATATTTTTTTGGTATTGAACGAAAGTCATTTTTTGTGGAGGAAAATCAGTTTTTCGTCGACCTTTTTTGGGTATTTTTACCTTCCACAGTCTGAAAAATATGAAAATTATAAGTACCTATTGTATCATTTCTTAGCGAATTTTTTGATAGGCAAAATTATTAAATATAAGTCACTGATAAATAGAACATTTTTCTTCGTAAAAAATACTTTGATTTCAGGCAGTAACTCATGAGGACATATTCAAACGAATACAACAAACTTTGTATTCGTATTTCAGTTAATAAGTGAAGAATAATCAGGTACCTATATCCAAGGAAATACCGACTATTGCAGTTTGATATGTGAAGTTAGATTTGAAGATTTTTTCTCTGCGGTGAGAAATATCAATTTCCCTTTTTGTGGTCAAATTTAAGTCATGAATATCCATTTTGAATATATGCTTTCTACTTTCTCTTTTCTGATAGTGTAGTGATCTAGTTCAATTCAAATCACTCTATGCTGTGTTGATGTTCTGCTTTGCCTGATTTGTCAAATTTTTTTAGCGATTGTACTTCTTGTACTCGTCAATCAAGTCTCTCAATATTCTTTTGGTTGCTGCTGGTTACTGCTGAATTTATATAGTATTCTGATATATGCAGTTTCTAGAGTCGCTAATGACGTTGAGTGGCTGTTTTTCAACTTTTGAGTCTTCGACAGTCCTAGTTGTAACAAGTTTCTTTTTTTATGTCTCTTGTTCTTTCCCCTAGAATTTTCTGTTTTATCAGATTTGTTGGAATTCCATTCTGTTCAAGACCCGTGTCAAAGGGCTCAGTGCTCTGTCGAGACTTTGTTTAGTGTTGAGACAACTAAATACAAATTTCAGTTCAAAGTAGAGGGCTCTTTGTCTGACAACAGAGAGATCCTCGCTGGAGTGCCACAGGGAGCTGTGCTCTCTCCCACGTTATACTCGCTCTAAACCAGCAACCTCCTGAGGTCCGAGCGTGTGAAGGTGTCTCCTTATGTCGATAACACGGTTCTCCTCTCATTTTCCATGGGTCAAGAGCTCGGGATCGTCTACATGCAACGCGCATTAAACGACCTCGAGCGCTGGTACCAGGAGTGGGAGATCCGAGTGAACCCAGAAAAAACTCAGGCGATAACCATGGAAAGAACAATATTTTCTCCGGCTAGGAAAGTGAGGGTCTCTGGAAGGGAGATCAATTGGCAAGCGCGGCCAATTGACCTCGGCCTTCTGGAACCCGCACATTATATCCGTTAAAGCAAGGATCGAAGGCCGCATAGCTAGTCTGTATTCTCTGATCAACGGAAGATCAAAAATGAGCCTGAAAAACGAAATTATCATCTACAACACAATGTTCAAGCCTGTCATTATGTAACCTTCAGGCGTCTGGGGACAAGCGGCTCCGTCTAATATCTCCATTCGGGAGAGATTGTAAAACAAGATAATATGGATGGTTGTGAATGCTCCGTGGTTCGTGCGGAATGAAGCCATCCGCAGAGATTTGCAGCTGCCTTTCATTCGACAGTCCATTCAGTCGAGGAATCAGCGAGTTTTTGATTGCGCAGAAGCTCAGAAAATCCGTTAGTTAGCGAAGATATAGATTATGCTGTGGACAACCCTTCTCGATATAGAAGGCCCCGACACTCTGTCGACTGAGGTCCCCATATCCCCTGTTAACAGATGAACAATTTTTTCATTCATATCACCCCAGCCAAGTAGGGGTACACCGTGAAGGGCAGCACTGATGTCTGAAGACATTCTGTCGCCATCCCACCATCAGTCATAACCCATTTGTCCCTCTGATAAACGTCAGCTGAAAGGGTCAGGGAGCCAGGCTCCAACCTGACCTAAACCAAGACGACTTTCCATTGAATACAAGATCAATAAATTTTAGAAAAGGTCCGTCTCAATAGATCATAGATAGATGCTTCCCACATGTTGGTTCTCCGTTGTGAATTTTATGGAGGTTGCCAGGGTGCTGAAATGTTTCAGAAAAATATATTTTCCAGTCTCTTTATGGTTCCATATTATGAAAGTATTTTTCACCACCACTGTGTTAGAAATCACACGTTGAAAGGTAAGACCTCGTTAGTTCAACACTTCTGAGAGTTGTTGTTCGTATGGGGGCGACAGCTGATTAACGGAAAAACAGATTTTTAAAACAGATTTTAAACCATTGTCGAAGATCATTCCGATTGGATTGTGTAGCAATCATGTAAATGATATTCGATTCAATCCATAACAAATGTTTGAAGTACAAACTGAATAGGAAAAATTGTTTTTAAATGATTCAATGTTCATATAGAAGTAGTTGTTTTGAAAGGATTTTCTTTTTCATATTATTCAATGTTTATATGAAAGTAGTAATTCGAGTGGTCTTGAAGTTACTCCTTTACATGATATACACAATAACATCTTTATGAAAAGTTTACTTGAAAATCAATTTTTTTTTTCACATTTTCTCACATTTTTTGTATAGAGATGGAGAAGTAGGTAGCCATTTCCCTGCATATCCCTGCATTCTATACTAGAATGAATCATTTGTCTTCTTCAAGGGTGAACAAGCTGTTCACCGAAAGCAGAGAGCTGTTGGTTGATTTAGATTTCAACAAAACGAAAAAATACACATCTTTCTCCCGTTATGTCTAGAAAACAAGTTGTAATATCATTGATGGGAACGTCATTAGAAATTGTGATACAAAAATAACATCCTTTTAAGATGAATTGGAAAATATTTTGAACATATCCAAAGGCAGTTTTGCATGGTTGAAGTCAGGAGCAAAAAGTTATTTTGAATCATGAGTTACCCGCAGAATTGGTGAAATCAAAGAAAGAACTGCTGTACAGAATAGAGATGTGATTTTCTTCAGAGAATTACATAACGAATGGAGCTACCCAAGATTCTAAAGAAACAGGAACGTGAAACTTCATTTTCTGAAGCTCGATGTGGAGTATTGCGAACAGAATACAAATTATTTTGAGACACAAAGAGGGAATAATTGAATAATGAAATTGAATAATGAAGCTTTCGACAGTAACAGCTTTTATATTGAAATTTACTGAAAATTCTGGTAATAACAATTATAGAAAAAATAACTTAGTTCAACAAGAAATAGAGAGAGCTGAAATGATTTGGTGTAAAGAAGAACCAGACTATGCATTTAGAGAATAAATGAATATTCTAAATGAAATTACTTGAACTTCAAAAAACTGTAAAATATTTCATTCATCACCAGGTCATGAAAATAATTTTAAATTGTGATGGGAGTTAGAATACCTTCCCACTTCAATAAAAAGGGCTAAGAGGTACACAGATTCAAAATATATTCGGGAGAGTGAAGTCGTCATATCGATGTATAACGAATAACTAGCTTTATCGAAATAACTAGCCAATTTAGTAAGAATTGTTAAAGTGATCCAAGAGGAGATTGAGAAGTTAGAGTGGTTGGCATTAAGGAAACAGGAACATACAGAAGACCACTGGTGAAAATTATTCTTCCTAAATCTACTAGAGAGGAGTAACGGCTAAGCCAAATGCCGTAACAGCAGAAAAAAATATTTTGATCATAACCATTATAACTATATTACAACTTTGGTCTGAGGATTCTTCCAGAATCGAAACGTAGTGGAATTTGGCTTACCCTATGTCCATCACACACCATCGTTTGTGATATACAAAAGTCTGCCGAGCAATGGAAATCTCCGTCATCACAGTCTGTTCCTTTTTTTTCTCTAGCATAATAAACATCATCAGGGTCTAGGGTGACGGATTCTCCATCTTCATAATCGAAAACATAATCCACCTCAGGTACACTTTTTGGAAAAGGTGGTGGCCATGCGCTTCTTTGGGTAGTTGATGAGTAGCCCAAGTTAGCTTGTTCTTTGGGGTCAAAAACATCAACATAATCTGGAAATTTGTTAAGGCTTTGATCAAGATACTGATTATTTGGATTGATCGTTGATGATGGGTGGCTAGGTCTGCTCACAAATCCTATTTCACCAATATTTGTGTCAGTAATGGTGTTCTGCTCATATGTGTTCCCTCGATCAGAATTGTCTGGTTTTTCTGTAACTAATCTGATATTCCCTGAAAAAATAATACTATGAATTATTCATTCAATCCCCATGTGTGCATATATGATTGTTTAATGGTAACTGTCATGCACAAAAATATAACTTCTTTTACTGAAAAACATGGATAAACTGGATTTTTGAAAGTTGTACCTATTTCACTTCAAAGTGGGCTTTTCTGAAATCATGTGGTCTCGTTTTTATATCTGTTGGTCTCAACGGTGCGGTGCAGCCAAGTCCAAAGAAGGCCAACACCTGGTGGCCGAAAACAGGAAATCACACAAAGGCATGGAGTCACCAACATGAGTTAGGTGGATATCTGTAGTTTCACACTGAAAACTCAACATCACTGTTGATAACTCCGTGCATATTTGCTATTTTCGACAACCAGGGTTGCCCATCTTTGCAATTGGCTGCACCACGCCAAGTTTGCAATTTTCGTGAGTTCTTATCTTTTTATTAAGACCAAATACACCCTTTAACATCTTATGGTACCTATATTCCGGACCCAGATGTCATTCAGCTGTCTACGTGGTCATGTTAGTTGTTTTCTGTGAGTAATGCTTGGGCTTCTAAATATTTAAAACATGTGCTTCTCTTAGTTGGCATAGTTGGCTTCTCAAGATGACAATATGCATTATATTAAGAAGAGTAGTGGTCCCAACACTGACCCATGCGAAACCCCGATATCCACGAAGTAGGTTTCAGAACATTAATTTTTTATTTGTACATAGACCTTTCTTTCGGTAAGCTATGACTTCTTTCCGTGAAGAATTTTTCCTCTCATTCCATTTCTTTAAGTTTATTTGGAATGAAACTTATTTGTAGGTTTACAAATGCACACCAGAGATCAAAGAAAATGGCAGTTGTCCAGTGAAGTACGTTCGTTTTTTATGAATGGGTATCACTCTACCCATTTTTAAGTGGGGCGGAAATACACCTGTGTCGAATATTTAGATACGAAAGGGGTTCAGCGATAGTTTCTTTTAGAGTTTTTAGTATTTTCACACACATTTTATCATTGCCAACGCTGTTTTTGTTTTCCAGTTTGGAAATGGTTGAAATCAATTTTTGACCACTAACATAGTAGAAATACAGAAATAGAAACTATTGCTGATATTTTTTGTAGGCAGTGTACTTTCTGTTGATTTACTTCGACCAAATTTTTTGTCTGGTTTTTGCTTCGTTATATTGGAGTTATGAGAAGCAAAAATCACTGCTACCTCTTTCACTTGATCAACATTTACGTCATCGATTTTCAAACTAATATTTGTTTCGCCTTTGCTCCTACCTATTTCATTATTGAAGATGTTTCATACGGTTTTTTGTTTGTTTTTGCGTCTTCTAATAATATCTGAATTGGACTCCAGTTTTTTCTGTGTACTGAATTGTTATAATCTATCAAATACACTCTTCAAGATCCTCAACATATTTCGGATCCGGGTGTCATGCAGGATAGCTGCCTCCGTGGTCATGTTGGTTATTTTCTGAAAATAATGCTAGGTCTTCTAACTATTCAAACCGCATATGTACAACTGGGTTCCGTAGATGATTCCGTGCATATTTGTTGTTTCTGTTTTGGGCAACCAGTTGTTGTCTATCTTCGCATTTGGCTGCACCATAACGATGAGCCCAATAGCCAGAACTATATTACTATCGTTCGCCTCTTTTTCGAGTGTAATGTTTACAAGTTCTCCAATTTTTTATTTATATCAAATATACGAGATAGTTGTTCCTAAGAATGTTAGGTCTTCTAACTGGAACCAGCTGCAGATGTAAGTAGATGGACAAAGCGACTCCTAACGCAAAATTCCTCATGGCGCAAATTTTTTTGCAATTTTCATGACATCCGATCGGAACCTAACTCAAGGTAGGTGTATTTCATCAGTTCGGACATTGTCTAATATAATATAAATTGATTTAAAATCCCTGAAAAAAATGAAATTGTGGATACTAACAATCGAAACGTCGTGACGTAACTTGGTTTGGAATGTTTTAATTTTCAATTTTTATTTTTCATTTTCGTTAATATTTTTTTTAATTTTCAGCTTTTATTAGTATTTCAATTTTATATTTTCTGGTTGTAGCTTGTATGTTATTTCCTTGTAATTTCAGTTTTTTGTTTTAATAAAATTGTTATTTTTGGTTAATCTTTTTATTTTTTTCAAGGGATTTCAAATCATTTTATATTATATTAGACAATGGAAGTCCGAACTCATGAAATACACCACTAAATATTGTCAACCACCTTCAAATCAAGGTAGGTGTGTTTCGGAAAGACTTTAGTGAGTGGGAGAGAAAAATGTGTGACGTAATCGATGCAGAAAAGGATTGAATGAGTATCGGAGAGATTCAAAGAGCATGTGCCCCCTTGGGACTCCACCTCACCCCTAGGACCTTCACCCCTGAGCCTCCTTGTCACGTACCAGTAACGTGGTCCTAGTGATCATCTGCAGCTGAGATAAATTCGATTAAAAATTTGTATTGGTGTGGCTTATGTTACTTCTTGCATATTTGTTGTTTTCTGTTTCAGGCAACCAAGTATTTTCCATCTTTGCACTTGGCTGCACCGTGTTAATGTAGTCAATAGCCAGAAAAACGTGTCCTTAGTTTATCACTTCTTTGTTCTTTGAGTGCAGAGAAAAGTTGATGCAGTCAAGTCGCCAAGATGAAAATGAAAAGATGAACACCCTTTCGACCATCTATAATTTGATACAATTTCGAGAATCTTCGACATGAATCACTCTATAGTTTCAGTTGTATCGCGCTTACGTTCTCGCACGCACTATATCATGTTCATCACAATATCACGTGATATTGTTGATGAAGTACTCATCCTGCTTTTCCACAATCCCTCTTCAATAAAAAACCTCTTGCCAGGCTCTAATAAGGCACAACATGCTTTTATTTCCAAATACAAAATGAAAATGATATTCCACTTATTCATAAATATGAATGAAAGCTGTAAGGATTGCGTTATTTATCCATTATCTAATCATTTGAGCAATGATGAAGGTCATGAGGTCAAATATGATGAAATAAAACTTTCAAGTTCTTTGTAAATAATGGAAGCTTCTCATACCAGAACTGAATTTCCAGAATTATTGATTATTGAAATGATAACTGAAAGTAGAACATTACTTTCAACTCAGTTAACAAAGTCTGAGAAAATAAATAGTTTTTCATGTACTCACCATTCGGACCAACTTCCTGTACATTTCCTTCGTATTCCGTATTCCAGTCCACTCCATAACTCGTATCACTCTCTATGTTAGGACTTTCCGAAATTTTGCAATCAACATTATATGGAAAGTCACAATTCCCAAGTGAAGGATTGAACAAAGTACCGGGCGCACAATCCTGAACAAAAGTTTGACCGTTGGCACAATTTAGAAATTTTTTGCAATCAAAGGGATGTTTGGTCAAACCTTGAAAACCATCTGGACATTTAGGTGTAGTACGTCTTGTCACTATCGTATGACTCCGTTGACAGTTATTGTCATTTATGTTGCAGGTTGCATTATAATTTCGGGTACCAGAATGAACATTTGGTCTTGATTGGCCTTGATTTGGGTCAGTTCCTTGACCAGTGATTTTTATTTCTTGATATCCAGAATCATGTCCACAATTTGGGGCAGATAGATCACAATTAAACTGTACTGCACCTTTTACTGGTGGCCTAGGATTTTGAGATGTCAGACTATTGGGAGTTATTCGAGATTGCTCAATATTTTTCCCACAGAACTGAGTCCGGGGATCACAAAAAAATTGTTGATTTGTTTGAAAATTGTTTTGATACTGATTTGATGGATTATTCTGATCACAGGAATTACTTGGAGTGTTGCAATTCTGTTCACGACTACCAGTGCGAATAGTGCTTTGTTCTTGTGTTGTAGTACCACCAGAATCAATCTGAGTAGAACCGTATCCAGTATTTTCACCACAGTTTTGTAAGAAAGGATTACATTTTTGCCCAGTATCGTAGTTGCGTGTCGGAGTTATTCCTCTGAGTGAATCCTGCCTAGACGAATGATTTACAGTTTGAGCATCAGGTGAACTACGACTTGGGACTACACAATTCTGTTTCGATGGATCACAATTTTGAATGAAAAACTGATTTGTCGTTTGATCACTAGGTGAACCATAGCTTTGAGAATTAGAAGCAATTTGGTTTCGTCCACAGTTCTGAGTTGAAGGGTTACAATTCTGGAAAGAAGTGTGAATGGAATTCTGGTCAGTGAAGGTCCTCTGCCCTTGATGGCAATTATGTGTGAAGGGATTACAAATTTGTACCGTTCTATAGATATTACTGATAGTTCGAGGGGTAGACGGAACTTGACCTTGTCCAACTGTTTGCTCACAATTTTTGTCAGATGGATCACAGTTTTGACCAGCACTGTAAGTAAAAACAGAGCTTTGTCCATATCCTTGATTAGAACCTTGAGTTTGTCTTGTGTTTTGTACACAATTTTGTGCTGAAGGATTGCAATTCCGATCAGTTACAATATTATAACCAATATTAGTATTGAGTCGATGTGAAGTTCCTGAACCGCCAGAATTAAGTTGTGACTGAGTGTTGAATTTATTCTGACCTTGAATTTGGTCATGTCCCAAATTCTGACCTGACTGACCGTATACAGTACTTTGTCTTTGTTCAGTTTGTTGACCACAATTTTCATATTGAGGATTACAACCCTTTTGACCATGAGTGATGATGAAAGTCGTTCCCTGACCTGAACCCTGGTTTTGCCCATTGAAAGGAAAAAGTGGTGTACCGCTTTGCTGAAATGACGAGTTGCGGTTGAATCCATGTTGTTTATTGGGATCTTGGTTACCACTGTAGGAGGAATCAAACTGGTTCTGAGTTGAAATACCCTGGGTGCAGGTACTGCCAATATTAGGGCACCGACCACTATATCCCTGGATTGTCTGGTGATATTGACCTATAAATATATTCAATGTATACAGTGTTACCGATAAAGTCCGCATCAAATGGGAAACTTTTTTATTTATCGTTTTTTGTGAAATTTGATTTTGGCAGTAGATTTTGCTTAAGAAATGATGTCAATTTGAAAGTACTGTGAATTCGTTCCAGAAACATCAGCAATAATTTCATTGACATATATCTATAAATAGAACTCACCTATAATTGAAAGAACGGCAAGTGAATTTGATATTCTGAATGCAAAGCATGGCACAAGTTGCGTAACTGGCATTGACCCATCTCTCATTTTCCAAAACAACCAATTGTGAATTTTTGAATACTGAAAATCTGGCAATATATTCTTCACACAATTGTTCATCTTTTCCATTTCCACAATCCTGAAATTTCATAGATTTTACTTCAAAAAATAGAAAAAAAAATGATATTAACGAATATGTTTTCCTTCTTGAGTTTCAAACCAAATGTATATTTATTTTTATAATATAGTGTTTCAATCTCCAATGTTTGATAATTTCATGACAATAGTCAAAATAAATAATAATTGTTGCTACTACAGCAAACATTTGTAACCAAGACATTATGTTCCGATTTTTTGGGAAGANTTCGATATTCGTTCTTTTTAACTTTTATTAAGTATTATCATTGCAGGTGTATTCGAAAATAAAAATGTATTTTTGTTTTAGAGATGAGACCCGCTTCCTTCCCATGTTGATCGGAGAGAGGCAAATCATAACCCATCTAGACGAGAAGAAATTCAGGGCTAAGGATATATTTTTCCACTTAGTCCAAACTATGCATGAGAATTGTTGTGAAGAAACTGACAAACAAACAGCAGACAAGTTTTAAAATATTAAGATGAAAGTTTATAATCGATATAGAAATTAATGATGGAAGTATTTATTGGATAATTTTCAGTCGGATAAAATGAATGCGAAAAAATTGTGTTACTGAAAATGAAAGAATTTTTCTTGAACAAATGAATGAAGAGTTGTATAAATCAAATATCTATGAATAGATGAAGAATTAGTTATTTTTATATTTCATTCTTCTTTGGGTGATGAAGTTCAATCAGGGTTGACGGCAGTCACTTCTGATTTAACTTCATAAAAAAACTCCCAGAGGAGGGGATACACCCCATCTAAGAGAAGTATCTGAAGAAAAGGATATACCTCGTAATCAAAAGAGAAAATCTGGAAGCTCTTCATACAAAAGCACATAATTCAAATATTTGGACAACTTAAAAAATAATAACAAACTGATCCAGTCCTTCTATGACAAACACCAGGAAGTTATTTCAAATGTAATGGAGAATGAAAAAGAGTTTGATGAAGGACTGATGAATACATTTTTTGAAAGTCGGTCCAAACTGTTGAAAAAACTGCTAAAGCTTCTCTTGAATGACTTCTCAATGTTAATTTATTTTATGTTGTTTGTCATTTTCATGTTGAACTTCCAGATCGTGTCAAACCAACAAAAAACACTGTCTATAGAAACGAATGATAACATATTTGTTCTAAGAGAAAATATGAACTGTGGATATTCTCTGATCATTTTGTGAAAGACCAAATGTTTTATGTACAGAACTACCGCCTCAAAACAAAACAGTCTGACAGCTATATGTTACATTTACGACAGCACATAGACGTATCATGGTGGCGTTGGTGGTAGCCAAGAACACCCTACGTTCTCACAGTATTGTGATGCCTGAAGATGCGAAACACGTATCGCGGTGTTGTAAACTGTCAAGAGAAAATCTGACATTGAAGTTTTTTTTGAACACGTTATACTGGATTTCCATGAAGTATTGGTCATTTCTATCATATTTTTATTGAAAACACTTATATTGTTGTTTATTTTTCCTCATTGTGACTGTATCCACAGAAAGTCCTATAAATATGTCATCTGCAGCTATATGCATGTGAATTATGTATCATTTTATATCGTAATATGTTTAGTATACAAAAAAACAAACATTACCCGATACAAGATGATGATATATATATGATTTTATTTGCGGTTGACGAATCGAACATTACAGTCCCTGATACCGTAATAGTCCGGTCAAATTAGACCAGAAAATAAGAGTAAAGCTACCTAAATTCCCACCAAAATAAAAATCAGTAGGATTGTTGAAAATATGATTGAAATTGAATTTGAAAGTTCCCCATCTTTCCCCTGTAAGAGGAAAAGTCAAAAAATTAGTTTTTCGCAATTTTCAGCAAAATGGTATAAAGCTCAACATCAATCGGAAATATATTAATCAAAAAGTTTATCTACTTTTGCAAAGTGTCAAAATCATGTTCTATTTTTATACGCAATAACTGGCTGTGATACGACATCTGCATTCCACAGGAAGGGTAAAATAACAATTATCAAAATGTGTGAAAAACAAAATTTAGTTCAATGTGCTGAAGTTTTTAAAAATAGTAATTTAACTCGACAAAAAATTATCACTAATGGTTTCGTTAAAAATACCAAAAGTAAAAAACAAATATAATCACCTCGTCTTCCTCCAATTTCAGTTGCTGCTCATCAATATCTTTTTCGGGTATATTACCAAGTTCAAGTGTGGCTTGGTTATTAGCTAGACCCTACATATTGGGGTTGGAAGTTAGTTAACAATTTCTTAGAACCAGTCCAAACTTCTATTCCACCTGCGCCAGAAAAACTGCTAAACATAATTTTTGCAACTGCAAAAAGGGGTGCAGTGCTAAATATGGTTGCAAAAAAGCCGAACTTTTTTGTTCTCTGGCATGTACACATTGTCAAGGCCAGTCGTGCTCTAATATTGAATCACCAACAGTGAAGGATCCGTTTGATTCCAACGAGGCAACATGCGATGTTTACATGTACTCAGGATGAAGATGAAGGAGAACAGAAAGAACAAGAACAAGAAGAAGAACAAGACGAACAAGAACAAGAGAACAAGAAGAAGAATTTTAAAGGCACGACTTGTACGATTAAATTTCACTACTTTGTTTTAACTTAAATTGCTTTTATCTTTTCAATCTCTGCTAATATCCATTATTTTGCAATAGTTTCAAATTAAACAGGAGCACAACTGCCCCGTGGAATAGGCCTACTGGGGAAACCACGTTAAAAAAACCCGCTAAGTACACTACTTCATAAGTGGCGTGGAAAAGTGTTCATATTATGACGATTACAACTTTTAAAACTTTTTGAATCGTTATATCTCAAAAACGGTGGCTTTACAATTTTTTTCTGGAATATTTTTATGATAAAACTCACCGTTCTGCTGAAAATCGCGAAAAACTCATTTTTTTGACCTTTGACTTCGAATAAAATTTTTTCAATACAGAGGAAAGACGGAATTTTCAAATTTTATTTTTAATCACACTTTAAAACAATCTTACTGATTCTCAGCTTGGTGGGAATTTAGGAAGCTTTAAATGTCTAAATTGACCGAACTATAATGTGTTACTTTTTTTGAAAGCAATGGCGTTCCAGTTTCAATTTTTACCACTTCTCACTCAAGAATGAAAGAAATATCAATAAAATCTGACTACTTTTACCAACTCTCATTTTTACCCGAAATAAATGATTGTACTATCTTTAGTAAATGAATAATATTAGAAAACTATGGAATTAACTCCCAATTATAATTTTTCATATGTTTTTTCCACATTAAATTGGTACTTTCATTTTAAACTGACAAATGAAATTTGTAATTCAATTTATTCATTGAATATTATACTTGTAAAGGAAGAATTCAATGAAATCTGTAAAATAACTCGAATTGTAATAAGTCATCTACCGGAACGACAAAATCAAAATAAATAATGGAATAAATTTATTATTGATGTTCAAAAATGTTCCAAAAAATGTTTAATGTCATTCAAACGTATTAAGAAATATTCAAAATGAACCATTCGAATCCATACTAATTACTCAGAAAATGATGGGCAACAGACAATTTCAAGTATTTAGTATTTTGAGCGGCCTACACACATAGGAACCTGGTTTTTCGCCATTTTCTCCAGTGCTTGTGGTGATATGGCGCACGAAAATTTCAAGTCCTCCAAGTTTCTTCCGGTAGCTAGGTAGCGAAGTGTTGAAACGAGACGATGTTCGGCCGATATCGACTTTGTCATGTGAGTTGTTTTGATATGTAGGATGTCATTATTGAATAATTGGTGTAATCTTTCGCACTGTTCTCCCCACGATGATATTAGAGATTGAGGTGAAACCACTTCTCTCACATGAATCCACTGCCTGATCCATTGCGATATTTTCTTCTTCTTTCTTGTAAAACCCCCAAACTCATATAATACAACAATAATAGCTGTAATCTTCGAAGAACTCATCCCAACTGCTGGAATGAAACTAGTGAAATGGCGAACCGTTATTCACATTCCCCTCCATTGAGTGTAGGGGGTGACGAACCAAGAAATTGGTGCGCCGAACCAAGAACTTGGTTGAGGACCCTGGTGGAGACTGACCCATCACAAACGATAGTGGGATGGCGGAAGAACTGGGCGTTATCTCCCATGCGGTTTTTGATGGTTTGAAACGTATTGGAAAATTCAAAGAGCTCGGAAAGTGGATGCCCTATGATTTGAACGATCGACAGACATTGTCACGTTTTGAAATTTGTTCTTTTTTGGAACAGATCGTCACGTGTGATGGCACTCAGGCACTTCCCAAAGGCGAAAACCCACCCAAAAAAGACCATGGCTACTGTATAGTGGTCAGCGGCTGGTGTGAATAACTATGACTATCTGCAACCGGGCCAAACCATCACAGTAGATTCTTTTAGTGAGTAAATCGACGAAATGTACCGGAAATGGCGTCAGCAGCAGCCGGCACTGTTCAACAGAAGAGGTCCGATCCTGCTTCAAGATAACGCTTGTCCGCAAGATTCACAAATCACCGCCCGAAAATACTCTCCAGATTTTTTCCAACCGACTACAATCTTTTCAAGACCTTCTACAACTTTCTGAGCGGTAGAACCTTCGCCAATCAGGACCAGGCAAAAACGACCTTCATCGACTTTATCGAATCCCGATCACGCAAATTTCGGAATTTCAGATTTACGACTTGTGCTGCGTTGGCAAGAATTCACTGATTCAAATGGCGCTTATTTCGATTGATTTGAATGAGTATATACTGAGATATCAGTTCAAAATATACTTATAAAAACGGACAAAACTCGTAGCATAGCTAACAGTAGGTTTAGTTCCAACGGAAGACATGACTCCTCTCTACTGAGTATGTATTTGCTAGTATTGGATCAAAAGATTTCCTTGTCACTAGATTTCAAAAAAAGATGCTGTATAAGATTATGTTACAATAATAATAATTTGTATATCTTGTTTGACTGCACAAAGTTGGAACTACAATATTTCCAAATGTACATTGACAAGAAAATCGTCTAGGAGTAGATTATGTAAAAAAATAATTAAATATAAAAACAATGAATTTTGTTACATAGCTGTGATAATTGTAATAAAGGAGATTATTCAAAAATGCAATTGTTTGAAATCAATGTCGTGGAATTGATTTAAAAGAATTGATTTAAGTTACTTCTTAGGGTAGAAGAGTAGAACGACAAGAAATATGTAAATTGTTTTGAAATAAAACTATAAATTACAAGGGACTTTTAAAAACTTTTCTTCAAAAATCTTTATTGTTTTTAAATAATAATGATTCTCTGATAATATTTAGGAAAACGTAACGCAGACGATCTATCGAGTCGAGCTACAGGATATAATCTTCGCGAAAATCAGATACTCTCGATTCCACGTCATCACTCATCTATTGTTCCAAGAGGTCCTCACATTATGTCAATAAAATTATATAATAATCTCCCTATCGACATTAGAAACCTCACAAGTCTGAATTCATTCAAAAATGAGGCAAAATTGTTTTTACTCATTCTATTAAGGAGTACTTTAACCTACACTAATCGATTTAACAGCATACTTTTGTTATATCCAGTGTAGTTTTTAATATGCATTTCAATCTGTATGTGTGAACAATTCGCTCTTCCTTCTTTTTTATTGTTATTTATTTGAATGTTTTTTTATCATAAGAACCTTTGTAATGCGTATTTTTATGACACATCTGACGCACTTCTATGTTTATTTGTATAAACCTGGAGACATAAAGAAAAATAAAAAGGAATACTACCACTCTCAAAATGATCAAAGTAACTTAATCAAATGGAATAGATTTGCTGGAACTCACCTCGATTTTGTTCCTGTTGTTGCTGATTCAATCGAATTATGTGATATGAACCAGGATGTCCGTTGAAACAGGTACATTTTTCAGGATGATCGCATATATTTTTATTGATGTCGAAAAGAGTTCCTGGTGGACAGTCCATCGGAAATGGCTGGCCATTACTACAACTTATAAATTTTGAACAATCGGTGTAGTTAGGTATAAGTCCACTGAACCCTTCTGGACAGTTCGCCTGTTGTACGGATTTTGGAACACGTAAATTTGCCAAAGTATTGTGACTGGGACCTGTAGAAAAAGTAATCGAATAATTATATAGCAAATAATGACCGAACTAGATATTATCAATATACCTTTTCGAAAATTTCAAATATTTGTATATTTTGTTCATTAACGTCGAATAATATCTCGTAGTTTCTCTAAACCTAAACATTTCCAATAGATTCCGTCTTGGCGAATCTGAAAGAAAGAACTTTCCTTTGATGCCGGCCGTGAGTATTATAATGATAACTCCTTCCCTTTCCCTGTACTCGTTTCCTGAACTAAGAGGAAGAGGCCCCATCAACCAACTCTTATCAGAAATGAGATAAATCGAGTACACACCGACAACGATCAGCCTATTGTTGATGGTCGCAATGGTATTGGATGCAACATAGTCGTCTTCATGTAAATCAGATTGAAAATTTTCCCTTACCCTTTCAACTGAAGTTCGTCAGGAAAACGAACGATTCAAAACTGAGAGTGTTTGGTTACGAAATAAAGGTCCATGACATCTGTCGTCCTGGCTCTGTGCACCTGACTGAGATGTTTGATAAACAAAATATTCATCTTTTACGTAAATCGTCAGGCCTTCTAAATCAGAAATACACCCACTGCTTTTCTTCGTGAAACTTTGTTTTTATGTAAATAACTCCTTCTCAACATACTAACGAAGTTAATGAAGTATCCGTTTCAACTCCCGTTCACGACATTCTATAAGTACAAACAATCTGAATGCGCGGATTGAGTTCATGAAGCCACAACAATTGACTTGATTCAATGCACTGACTCACAGTGTTTTTACAGAAGAAGCCAACTTTTGTCAAATTCATGATAAATCATTTGGTCTCCGATCGCAACCTTTGTGACCTTATGATGGCAAACATAGTTGGCTCAATTTTATGTAGCAACAAAAGTTGATTGATCAATGTGACTTTCATATGAACACTGGATAAATCGTTCAGTATCAGAGACCAAACTGCAATCAGTGCTTCAGCCAGACCCATTCCCAATTTTCGGGAAATGTATAACCGTGGAACCCATGAAAGAAATTACTGATGACTTTTTTTGTCAGCCTGATATCCAAAATTTCTCAGTCAAATTACACAACAAACCCCAAACACATGGCATTTTTTTGTATTTCTTTGAACCAGACTTTCTAGGGAAGAGTATTTTAGTGAAAGTACTATTGAATGACGGAAATTGAAACTATCTTCAGAGGATATTTCAATTTCGTTTCTGCCCTTGGAATAACCAATCATCTTTGAAGGAAAGTAAGCCCACAATTGAAGAATATAGTTTTGCCCGGGAAAACATTTATATTGAATTAATTTGAAAAAATATGATCATCCTTTAACGATTTCCGATATTCTAGTCATTTCTTTTTGTGCTATTGCATTGTCATCATAAACCACATTATTTATGGCCAAGGACAAGACGAATCACTGAACCAGTCCCGGTGGCTCTCACCATTTGAATTCTAATAACATTTTTGTATCTTTGCATCTTGAACATGAGTTGAGAGGCTTCCTTGGAACAAACTGTTTTTTCAAGGTTATTTTTGAAATATCTTCAAATATTTTTGATCTCGGAGAATTCAAGTAAAAACTGTAGATAAATCTAGTCCGAAGGACTGAAATATCTTCAAATATCTTCAAGCTATTTTTGATCTTGAAGAATTCAAGTGAAACTGTAGATGAATCTAGTCCGAAGGAAAACTCGACCATCCCAATCATAAATCGAGAATGGTTAATGCAGTCAAGCTGCTGGAAAATAATTCCATGAAAATCAAAAGATAAGCTTAACTGCATCCATCTTTTCCGATTTCATATACCATTTCTATAAACATGTGGATTCATTTTCCGATGGCATTCCAGGATAACTCCCCAATTCCTGCTACCGCAGTTATAGGTTGATTGGTCAAACCACCAACACTGACATAGAAACTTGGCAAGCTGACTTGGGTGTCACACCAATAATAAGTGGTTCCACTTATGTCTCGCTTGCGTTTAAGCAGTTATTTTTATTGGGTACTTTTCTTGGTTATTCACATTTTGTCTTCAATCGAGGATCACCTGCCCGGCCAAATAGGCCAAATAGCCAAATAGGCTGAATTAACTGTCTTCCGGTGGTTCTTAAATTCAAGTACATAATTGTTTAACAAATGAAATATGTGGCTCATTGATTCAAATGTCATGGAACCACTTTCTCAGGTGACAGATCCGATACCTCTGGTTTTGTACTGCCATCTTCATTGCATAAGTTGCATTCGTGACGATAGATTTCTGAAGGTAACATTGAAATGAAAAAACGCATGGTATTTCGAAAAATAACAGTATTCAACAATAAATGGAGGGTGCGTCATATTTCAGCCTATCGCATTCGAAAGTCGCGAATAATAACTTACAAAATTTTTTTGCTTTTCTTCAAGAATACTTCACTTGTATAGGAAACTGATATACACATATTACTATTTGTAGGTTATTATCAGTGGTAGCATCTTAATAAAAATAAATATATTCTCAATACATATAGCTTAAATATTAAAATTATACACTAACCTGTTATACACTCGACTTTATCAGGAAAATCACACTCTAACGTCTTTGGGTTGAACAAGGTTCCAGGTGCGCAATTTTGGACTACTCCCCTTCCTTTCCAGCAATTTAAGTACTGATTACAGGAAGACGCATATACGAATTGGCCTGTGATTCCTGATGGACACTTATCATATATTTCTAGAGATTTATATTCAATTCGCCTCTTGAAAATTGTCCGGTTTGGTGCTGATAACTCATTGGTATCGATTTCTGAAAATATTATCAGTCAATTTCGAGAAGAATATTGAAAACAACTGTTGAAATATTTTTTTCCGTTAAGCAGATATCGCCTTCTTACGAACGAAAACCCTCATTTTCGGGCGAGCTAAGAATTAACGAGATCAGAACGGCAACTCAACCGGCTACCTTCTCGGAGCCGGTTGGATTGGCGTTCTGAGTAATCAAAATCATCAGGTAATTCCATAATCAATTTTGATAACATGTTCTGAGTTAATGAAAGTAATGTGAGACAACACAAAATGAATACAATTCGTATAGTTCACATCATCTTTGAGATTCAGAAAATAGAAAAGTCTTCGATTAAATAAACCAAATTGAAATATATGCTACTGACAAATATGGCATACATCCCTTTACTGGATGCATGTCATATTCTTCTGGAGATGATTTGGGTTGTCACCTTCTGTAAAATACTTAGGCAAATTAAAAACGAATTCAAACAATTTCGCTTTTAATGACTTTGCTTGACAGTTATTATTTTTTCATCTGTCTAATTCTCAAACAACCTATGATATTTATCAAACAACTTATACATAGTGATGAACAATTAACTGATATAAGAAAATACAAATAAAATAAGTAACATTCTCCATCCCCAAGCAGACTTTGCAAGGTGAGTATATCAACTCCTGACTGAAAGAATACACACTTTGGTGACAGGTCTCATATATGTTCCCTATTTATTTCTAATTCGAACAACTCTTTTGATTCCGTCTTTATCGGGAAACGTTTCTTCTATTTTTCCTCTGATCCACTGATTCCTAGGTGCCTTCTCGTCCACAATCAAAACTATGTCGCCAATTCTAATAGGATTACTTTTGTCATGCCATTTTTGTCTCTGAAGAAGTGTTGGTCTATATTCAATTACCCATCGTTTCCAGTACGTATCTGCTAATGCTTATGCAATTCTCCATTGCTTTCTGCTAGAAAGTTCCACATTGCTGAATGATCTAACATCACCTGGTCTCAGTAGCAGAAAATGATTCGGAGTTATAGCTTTTGGCTCGTTGGGATTGACCGATATGTGTGCCAAGGTCCTTGAATTGATAATATATTAAATTTCACTCATCAATGTTACCAAAACTTCTTCTTTTGGATTGATAGACTTCAAACTAATCTTCAGAGCTGTTTTAATAGATCTTATCATCCGGTCCCAGATTCCACCCATGTATGCAGCTCCTGGAGGGTTGAATTTCCAAATTATATTTCAAGATGCAACTTATTCTAAAATCTTTTTCTGGAACCATTCCTTGAGTTCACGTTCTGCTCCGACAAAATTGATCCCGTTATCTGTTATTATCTCGTTAGGCTGACCTCTTCTACAAAACGTTGGATAGCAAGTATAGCAGAATTTGTGTTCAAAGATGCCGCGAGTTCAATATGGATTGCACGGAGAGCGAGACAAGTAGAGAGTACGCCGTATCGTTTTTCTACTCTTCTTCCTATTACAATGTTCCAAGTTTTGTTGGGGGTAGAGAGAATAACCAGGTGATTTTAGATATTGTCAAACAATATGCACATAATGCGAATCCCACAAATAAAGTTCAATTTTTGTTGTAAAAGAACTTTATTTGTGGTATTCGCATTTTGTGCATATTGCTTGACAATATCTAAAAGCACCTGGTTATTCTCTCCACCCCCAACAAAACTTGGAACGTTGCAATAGTAAGAAGAGTATGAAAACGATACGACGTACTCCATACTCCATATACTAAAAATATAATTTGGAAATTTAATCCTCCAGGAGGTGCACACATCGGTAGAATCTGGGAAAGGATGATAAGATCTATTAAAACATCTCTGAAGATCAGTTTGAAGTCTATCAATCCAAAAGAAGAGGTTTTGGTAACATTGATGAGTGAAATTGAATATATTATTAATTCAAGGCCCTTGACACACATATCGGTCGATCCCAATGAGCCAGAAGCTATCACTCCGAATAATTTTCTGCTACTGAGACCACGTGATGTTAGATCATTCGGCAATGTGGAACTTTCTAGCAGAAAGCAATGGAGAATTGCAGAAGCAATGTAAAATACTCAGGCAAATTAAAAACGAATTCAAACAATTTCGCCTTCAATGACTTTGCTTGACAGTTATTATTTTTTCATCTGTGTAATTCTCAAACAACTTATGATATTTATCAAACAACTTATACATAGTGATGAAAAATCAACTGATATATGAAAATACAAATAAAATAAGTAACACCTCCTGTAATTCATTGCCTCACATTCGCATAAGATATGATGAGTTGTCTCTGTCCCTTTTTTGCATTGAAAATGGTTCTACTACTTGGAACAATTTGACTGGTCCCTTTTGATTTAGGGACAAAACACAAGCACTACAGGAAAATCCTTAAGGCGCTTACAGAGCGATGCCTGTGCGAAAGAAGCGACTCACATTGGATTTGAATCGCTGGAGATTGAATCCATTTAGAAAAACGTTCTCAGATTATTCCACATAAATACAGTTCTACAGATGAAAGAATTCTTGAACCGTGAAGTTCGAAGTGTACTGAGTTGAAACTCAAAACGATGAGCAGCCACAATCCGTCGCGTATTTCTGATATATTTATACCGCTCTTGGTGGAATCAAATGTGCCAAATCGCTTGAACACTTCCCGTGAAAGTATCTATGGAAAAGAGATAAATCTCCAACACATAAATGAAGTTAATAAAAAACATTTTGTCTAAATGCCACTGATAGATTTTATTCATACACCGATTTCGTGTTTGACTCCATTATCAAGTATAAAACTTGATAATGGGGTCAAACCTGAAACCGGTGTATAAATAAAATCTACCAGTTTTATTCAGACAAAAGTGTTTTTTATTCATTTCATTCAAGTCATCATGAATTACCATAAAATAAACAAGTCATCAATCACACATAATAAATCTCCAACCTTTCTTCGATCAAGGTTGCACGTGATGTTCGGGTATTCAATCAGGCGGATGGCTCTTTTTTGGATGGAATCAAGCAACTTCAGGGTTTGTTTTGGGGACAAAGCTCCATACATGAGAACAATACTCCAAAAAAAGGTCTGATCTGAGCTTTAGTATCAAAAGTTGCTGAGGTGTGTATAGTTTTCTGGTTTGGAACAATGTTCCAAGCTTTTGAGAAGCAGTCTTTGCAATTCTAGCGACATGATTGTGCCAAGACAGTGGTGTCCATTTTAACCCCCTACAAACTTATCGAAACAGAAAGCGGAATTGTCAGACCTGATATTATTATATCCGATTCGGAGACATTTATCTTCTTGGAGAAAATCGATGCCTGGGTTTTTGTCGTATTGAATTGAACCTGGATACTTTCACCCCAATTCGAAATCACTTCTAGATCCTCATTAAGGTATGCAACCTTCTGCTGCCGGTGAAGATATGCTTCCGTCGGCGATATCCTGGAATCTAAATGGATTCCTGGACATCACTTATTAGGTATTCCCTATACTTTTCATGTCATCTATTCCAACGATATTGTTTTCTGTAATGATTTGTACAAGTCTCTTATTGCATATTTGTCTTATTCTTGTGTTCATAACTTGAGTTGTATGTTTTTCACATACCCTTTATATTTCTCACAGGCCCACTGTTCTGGTTCCGTACCAGAGATTTTGTAACATCCACAGTTAGTTCAAGGCCACGTACACTCATCAGCCATTTCGTTGCCTGTGATAGATGAGTGTCCTTATAGTCAGTATGTATACAGGGTGTCCCTGGACTTCCTTTTTTCCTCTCGGGAATGTATAGATGGGGTCAAAATATCACCAGTACTTCATATAACTTTTTTTCCTAAAATCCTTCGTTACCAAGTAACGGGCCCTCGAAGTTACAAAATGAAAAATGTTTTTCTTTGATAACTT